GAACGAGGGGGGCATTGTTAGCACAAAAAATTATTTTCTCTGTCGACAAGCATAAAAAAGCACAGAGAGCTGATCAAGCGGATGGTAGGAATGAAGGCCACGAGTTTTGTAGTGGGATGTGTGTCCCAGAATGCAGAACAGGTGACAGAGGAAAGGCAGTCAAGGTAACAGAGGTGGCAGAGGCAGCTTCTTCTGTTGATTCATCTGGTAGTGCAAAGAAATATGACCAAATGTGGCCCAGGAGTAGAGCCATGAAGTTAGGCATGTGATTGATGTGAGGCACGTGGTTTGACTAAAGAGAATGAGGAGGCTACAGCAGAGGAGACAGTTACAAGCGGTTATGGAGGTCATGGCAGTTATGTAAGAAATGGAAGTAACCTGCTTCGTGGTGGGACACGTGTCAACAAATAAGTAGTAGGGCCAATGGCATAAAGGCTAGAGATTCGAAGGAAAGAGAGACAGAAAAATCAACTTACAACTTGAAAAATCTAGGAGTAGTCTAGTGTGTCTAGGAGTAGCAGTTCTTGCAATTAGCAGTAGCAGTAGCAGTAACAGCTAGCAGTTCTTGTAATTAAGTTCTGTCGATTGTAGTTTCAAAGGACTTGTAATTTGATCCTTGTGGTTGAAAAACAAGTTTTATAATTATTAATCAAAATTTAGTTGTATTTGCTGTGTTTCTTCAAGAAGTAAACTTTCAAAGAAGTCCTTGAACCTGTCAAGGCATTAAGACACACAACCACGTTATTTGATCCTGCTATTTGTGAGAATTGGTTTGTCTGTTAACTGTCGATATCGCACCCAAACTAGATTTTTGCTAACAATAGTATAGAAGAAGTGCTTCAAATCATTGCTATTTTACTCTGACCAGTTCTAAAAAACTCGAGATACTTCGAATTCTTTGTTGACATGGACAAAGTCAGGGAAAATATATGAAATTATTTCAATCTTGGACCTTAGACATAAAATAGTTTCGAATCGAATTTCTTTAGAAAGAATATCTTTTGTCTTATGGTACCCAGCTCTAGTAACCCGCAACCTCACAATACAAAGAGTGTTACACAACTATTAGATCAAATGCATAAGAGTGGAACTGTTGTTAAATCGGATCAAACTTGAGTTCAATTGAATTAGTTTGGTTCAATTCTAAATAATGATTGGTTCAATTTTGAATAAAAAATTTGAAAATGATGACGTTTCGATTTTGGCATTTAGGTCTCTTTTCCATGAGTTAGTATGGAGGAGTTTTTATATTCACAAATCAATTTATTTTTTCAATTTACACACTTTAAAATTTTTATTTTATTGTTTCGAGAAGTTAATAGTGATTAAAATCTTTTTTCAATTTACACACTTTAAAATTTCTACTTCATTATTTCGAAAAGTTAGAAGCGAATAAAAACTTATAGTTCAAATATAAGAAAATCTCCAATAAGTTGAGTTAGAACCCATTAGTATCGGTTATTACCTCTGCTAATTAACAAATTGTTATTATTATTATTATTTTGTTGTCTCCAATGCGTTTGCTAAGGTGCTTGTCCGTTAGTAAGTTTAATGCAGATTTTACTAAGTTTGATGAAGTTCTAATTTTTCAAATCACATTTATGAGAAGATTAGTGATTTTTCTTAGATCGTAATTGATTTTTTGACAATTTTGGTTTTGTTGTTTGTAGTTTATTATTTGGTTGTTTGTTTGACTCTTTAGATCTTGTTATTTTTATTTTCATTTGTATGTTGGTTGTTTTATTTTAATATAAATGCTTTTAATGTTGCATAAAAAAAAATAAGTCTGCTATCTTTGTTGTTAACTGTAGTGAGCACAGTAGCAAAGGAAAAGGAACAGAGATTCCGGTTCAGATTTTGGATGGGAGGGCGTTATTTGGATTTGTGGGGCCTACTACGGGTCTCATTTCGATGATCTGAACCGTTTATTTTATCAGGTACTTCATGTATTTCGTCTACGAAAAAAAAATAGATCGATCCGATAACTGTAACTTGTTCAATTTATTGCGTTTGTGACTAAAAAATGTGTAGTTTATTTTTAAAAACACAATTATTGTCTATTTTTTAAGTAAAAAATTGAAGAAGTTACAATTATTGGATGAACCTAATTTTTTGTATGGATAAAATACACGAAATAACTAACAAAATAAATAGTTTGAATTATCAAAACGAAACGCGTGATAAACTCCATAAGCCCAAACAACGCTTTCCAGTATAAATTTTGGATTGGAGGGGATCCCATGTATCTGGGGTGAGCACAATCACCCTGCTATTCTAGATCTGCAGGTAGGGCAGGATACTGTCACCTTATTTTTTAATTTTATTTTAACTATTTTATGTGAGTTTCATTCTCTTCTTACATAGTATACCTTAATAAACGCTTTAATTATATATATATACATATATTTTGTCATATAAAACACTTTAATAAATATTTTTAGTTAGCCTATTTGGAAATGCTCTAAAGTACTTAATGAAAACTCACTTGTTGGATTTTACAGAATGAAACCCATGCATGCGGTATGTACTTATTTTATTTGATGATATAATTGTAATAAAACTTTTATTCACTAATAATGTATTTGGTTCAATAGAATGAGACTAGAATTTAAGGCCACATTTATTTGACTTTATAAGATAGAGGAGATTAAAAGTATAGTAGAATTAAGTGAGGAGATTATTAGTGTGATGGTATTACGTTAGAGATGTAGAATAAAGAATGTTTATTTGTATATCACCGGCTTAGTAATGCTATAGATGGTATTACTATATAAAATTAATATTTTTTATTTTTTAATTTTTTTTAATATTATAATTATTATTTTTTAAAAATATATATAATTTTTTCTTAAAAATTATTTAAAAATTCACTAAATATAAAAAAAATCATATTTTTTAATATTTATTAAAAAAATAAATATTTCTTTCACCAATAAATTATTTAAAACATAATAATATTAAAAATTATTGGATTAACAATCCCAACTCTCCAACGGGTATGCTAATTCCACCTTAAAAGGAATTGGTAGTCTAATTGGACTAATAATCCTATAACATTTTAAAACAACCAAATATGATTTTGATAGGCCCCATGAATTGTCAATCCAATCTCTTTTTTAAGAGGCCAAACAAACAGGGCCTAATGGTTATTATGTTAGAATATCGATTTTCATGTTTGGTGTGATAAAAAAAAGAATATTGAAAGTGCAATTACCATTCACAAATTTAAAAATAAATAAATAAATAAATAACAATTTCAGTGTATTGTCCAAGAATAACAATTTCATTTCTACTTAAAATCATTTGGGGCACTTATCAGTAAGTCTTATACACAAAATTCAAAGCCTATCTAATTCTAAAGCAAAACATTTGCACAAATTAGTCCTATATAATGGAAGTTATTTGTGGGATTTTTAACCAATTTTTCCTATAAAGAATTATAAGATTTTTCACTTCTAATTTTATAGATTTTACACTTTAAAATTAACTATTTGACAATTTTAATAATAGTTTTCTAGTCCTATTTTATTAAATATTGATTACTTATGTTTGTTGATCATATCAAAATTGTTTATATTATTCTATTTGTCTTTATTTGTTATCGTTTTTGTTTCCTATCCCTCTACCAATTGCATTTTTCACGACTCACATTTAATTTGCTTCTCCCTTTGTTTTTGCAACCTATTCTTGTTCATTTGTTTGTGATTTTGTAATGAAAATACTGTCTAAATTTAATATGACATCCTTAAAAATAAACTTATAAAATTTGACAATGTTTATCAAAATTAATTATCCCTTTTCTCATATATTGATTTTTCCTTTGTTACTTATATATGTTTAAACTATTCATAAACGCATGCGTTTTCAAATTGATTTTTTAATATTAGTAAAGGAATTACTTAATATCAAATCAAATCATAGAAGTGTCAAGAGGATGGTTTGTATACTTTGCCCATTATGATGATTGTATTAACTGTTTTTGTTTGTTTGTTTGTTTGTTTCTTTCTTTTTCTTTTCTTTTTCTTTTTTTTTTTTTTTTTTTTTTTTTTTTTTTTTTTTTTTTTGTTATTGTTGGGCTGCTTCGGCAGTTTCTTTTAGATTATTTGTTAAGACTTGTAAATATGCATTATTAGGCTACAATTATGTAGTTTGATATACTTATTTTAATATTTATAATTAATCTCCTATATATTAGCACAAACAAACAAACAAACAAACAACAATGCTAGAGGGTCACAATTTTTGTGACACAATGGCTCAAAACTGCCAAAACGACGTCATTTTAGGTGCAAAACATGCCAAAACGACGTCGTTTTGACAGTTTTGAACCATTATGACCACAAAAATTGTGGCCCTCAAACACAAAAAGATGACTTGCACTATCCACAGACAGATTTGCACTTCATTAATAATAAAAAATTCCACTATCTAACTAATTTCAGATTTCCCCTAGATAGTTTGTACAATTGCAGCTTTTGACTTGTAATTTTAATATCGAAAATGTTTTAGAACTCTAATAGCTCTAATGGGGTGTGAATCCCACTAGGATAGTGATGTTTGTATTTTGCAGTAATGATTTAGAACTCTAAAAGTAAAGCTCTAAAAAAAGTTCTACTGAGCGGGCAGGTTCCCAAAAACAAAATAAACAAATCAAGCTAAAACATCACACCAAGGTGAATCCCACACAGCTCCACATCATTAGTTCATGCTCTAGAGCTTTGAAACATTTTTCTTGTGTCTTGTGTTTTGCTTTTGTTTCTGTTTTTTTTTTTTTAACTTTCCATATCATTAGAGCTCATTAATGCTCTTCGATTTAGAGGAATGTATTATTGTTGTTTTAATATGTTTTTGCTTCCTTCTACTACTAGTTAACTTCCAAACTAAATTATATTTCCTAACAATATTCAACCTGAACATCTAAAATTCATTACCATTGTCTGAGAAATCTAACCATAAACAGAATTCTAACACTAACAAAGCTCACTGCAAAAAATAAAAAATAAATAAAAATGTCATCTTTAGAAAGCCCTCAAACACCTACTGGTACTGTACACAAGAATTGCCTGCAGCAGTTATGCATGGTAGTGTTCTTACATTGATTAAGGAAGGTAGGTAGGTAGGTAGGTATACACCATAAAACTTGGTATTCACAAAATTTCCAAAAGGCTATTATGGCCATATCAATGATCGATACCCCCTTAAAATCCAAGGGAAATAATACATGAGCCTAGCTAATCTATTGGGGCACCAACAAATAAGGCCCCTCCATCCTGAGCAGGGGAACCAATTAAGGCAAAATTTCCAACGAATAAAAAAAAAAAAAAAAAACGTAGTGCAAAAGGAGAGATGAGACCCCTGTACACATACCTCTCTTTCTGTCTCTATCTTCCTCAAGTTCTAGGGCTACAGTAATATACATAATACCCAAAAATTTTTTTACCCTGCCAGTATTCCCTTCACTAAGCTTCTAACACAACCTGCAACAATCACCGCCTCTTTCATCTTACAATTCCACATTGGGTGATTAGCTTTATCTGCACAAAACACCACGCCACTGTTAGTCTCTTCTTCCACCGACATGAGTAAGAAAATGTAGAGCCCTTGAAGCATATGCTACTCTGATAGAGGCAAGAATATGCAATGCCCTCTCTTCTTTAAATACAAAAAACTGAAAAAATTGTTTCTAGGAAGAATACACTGTTCATGTACTACATAAAATAAAGTAAGAGAGGTAGAGAGCTTCAATTAATCAATAGCATAACTGATAACGTAAGAAAACAAAAAGTGCATCCCTTGTCAAGAAAACATTTCCAGATTCCACCACTCTCTTCATCTTCTTTTTTGAAAAACTGAAATTCTGATGATCTTAAAAAATAATTGGAATATTATTGATTATATGAAAAAGAATGGCACATATCAAATCTGTCCTCCACACAACAGCAGCCTATGCAAGGCGTAACCAAATTAGTGTATGCCAGGCTACAATTGCAGGTATTTGAAATAAAGGAACCTTTTTAAGTTACCTGTACACTGCTATTACAAGTGGCATGCCAACCCAACTTGCGCAGGATCAGCAGCTCCAGGAATTGCCCAATCCATTGAAAGTGCTTCATTCCATTCTAGAGTTAGTGGGTCTGATATACAAACTGTTATTCCCTGCTTGCAGATGCTGTGACTGCTGCTGAGATTGCTGTTGTGGTGGCATCTGCTGTTGCAGTGATTGTTGTTGCTGCAGAGGTGGTGGGGTAGGAGGTGTTGAAGGCAGTTGCAGCTGGGACTGCTGCTTCCGCTGTGCACCAATGTTATCTCCATGAGGGGGCAAGCCACCTGATGACTGCCCCTGCCCTAGCCCTTGACTAACAGTAGGCATAGGTTCGCTTCCAGCAGAATTGTTCAAAGGCAGACTCACAACAGGAGTCAACTTCGTTGATGGATTTGGCAAACCAGAATCATACTTCTGTTCCGGTGTTTTCCACTGAGCACTCGAAGACGAAACGACTGGCATTGCAGTATTTGTATCAACAGAGGACTGAGGCATTGTTGCTGTTGTTGTACCCATCTGAGATGAGTTGCTCACAGGTTTCTGGTCAGTTTGAGCTTGAGCTTGAGCTTGATCTGCTTGCGACTTGCTTTGTGGGTCAGAATTCAGTTGAGGATTCTGTTGAAACACTCTTTGAACAAGTGGCTTAGTTTGATTCACTGATTTTTGGTGTGGCTGTACCTGCTGGTGGTTTGAAGAAGCCATAACCGAAGGTTGAACAGCTTGGGGAGAAACTGGTAACATATGCCCAGAAGAAGTGGCTTGTGCAGCATGTCCTCCTTGATTGCTATTATCTGAATGAGAGAGCATCTGCTGGACTGGCTTTGATGAAGGAATTGCTTGGCCAGAATACATCTTTTGCTGATGGTGGGACTGATTTGAAGAATGAGGAGGCATTAAAGGCTTAGATGGTTGAACAGGGAGTAGTCCTGACCCATGATATAAACCCTGGCCTTGCATCAAATGCATTACCTGCTCTGCTTTCTCTGCAGATTGGTTGCCTGGAGTTGTGGAAAGGCCATTCAGAAGAGAAGGATCCATCGTGACATTCTGATGCATTGGCATGTTCCCTCTCCCTACTCCTTTGATAAGTTTAGCCTGCTGTTGACACTGTGACTGTTGCCGTTGCTGAGGGTGTTGCCTACTAGATTGCTGAAATGACTGTTGCTGCTGCGGTTGCGGTTGTGGTTGTCGTTGCCGTTGCTTTCCCATCTGATTGGTCAACCCACTACCAGCAGTTTGAGTGTTCCTGTTTATCCCATGAGGCATGTGAAGCTTCTGCTGATGCTGTGATATGGGAGTTATCGAGGATGATTGAGTCACAGGCAATGACACTGGTGGCGAAGAATTTTGAGGTTGAATTTGGGAACTATTTTGCAGAGATGACGAAATAGGGAGTTGTGACTGTGGTTGTACATGAGGCATCAGAGCATTGGATGCAGCAAATTGTTGATGCTGCTGCTGCTGCATTAAACGCTGCTGCATTTGTCTCTCCTTTGCCAAGCGAATTGCATAGGCTTGATGATGCTGGGTACTCGAGGCATGGTTCGGTCCTTGAAGATGAGGATGGCGAGGATTATTGAGCACATGGGATTGTTGATGTTGCTGCTGATGGAGTGGGTATGGCTGAACAGGAGATGATGTCTGATTGGAGAAAGCAGAAGTTAACCCACCAAAAGGAGGGACTCCTTGGTTGTTGTTCCCTTGGGGGACCTGCTGCATTTGAAGATCTGGCACCATCATTTGCCTTTGGTGCTCAGGACTCTGGCCAGGCTATAACACCAAATAAAAACAGTCATCAAAAAGCTGTGAGTGCAAATTGCAATTGTTACAACTGTAGAATTAGTTAAAAATACATTGTTACTCATCAGATGACTGTTTGGCAGCAGTTAAGAATGAACATGAGATAGAGGACACAGTATAAACACCAACCAATTTCTATACACTCGCACCAATATTTTGGCAAATTGGAGCATTGAAGTTGGTATTAGGAAAAGACACATTTACAAGAAGTATGGAAGTCATTAGGAAACAATCAGATTATAGCGTAGTTATGAGTGCAACAGATGGTCCAGAGTTATGGAACAAACACCGAAACTCCTTTAAATGTTCAGTTGATAAATTTTCAACAAGCTTGGACAGCCTATTGATTATTTAGATGCCGCATATACTATCAGTCTCCTATTAAGTAAAAAGGAGAGAAACAAGGGGTGGGGAATTGCACCCTACGATTTGACGATGTCAATTCCCCAATTACAAGTTCATTACATTCCAGACCACTCAGCACAAAAATATTCATTCCCAATGTAAGAGGTGTTATACCGTTTTAGGTAGAACTCACCCCAAAAGCTAACTATTAAGGTGAGGGTGTCCTCAAGCTTATATGCTTAATATTACTTTAGTACTCCGACGATATGGAACGTCACTTCACACCATCCCTCATGCCCAGCGTGCTCACTCGGCAACGCTTGTGGAGTGTAGACCAGGGACATGCATCCTACCCATCCCTGAGTACTCTAGCTTTGATACCATGCTATACGGTCTTAGGTAGAACTCACCCCAAAAGCTAACTATGAAGGTGAGGATGCCCTCACGCTTGTATGCTTAGTATTACTTTAGTACTCAGGCGATATGGAACTTCACGTCGCAGAGGTCAATATAGAATATGTTCATACGTAGATCCCTACCTCCTCACTCCATCTAGGATTAGGAATAAGCATAACAGATGAGGAAGCAAAAACAAATCATCCACTTTTCCTCATTGTGCATGTAAATTCAGAAAACAGTCTTCATTAAAGTTGTTGATCAAGGATGAAATAAGTTCAGATAAATTTCCTATCATCTGTAACCTTCTTCCTTCAGGAACACAAACAGGGAATTGTCGAAATCTCTGTCGCACGGAAGTAATATTATTCATATAATCTGGTAGTCCGCAATAATTTTTTGGCTGATAGATCCGTTAGTCCACTAGAATCAAATGGCATTTAAAAGAAAATAAAATAATCGCAGTGCAAAATAGAAAGCACATCCCATGATGATCTATAAAACAATGTTAGTCTAGAAAGGCAATTCCTTATCCAACTGCCAACACAACATCCTGTTTATGATCAGGATGGAATTCAACAATATTCCATATAAGTGCATCATGTTCATCCACAACAAAACCAGAAATTTAGTAAAAATAAGCAAGTGGCTCAACTATATGAGGCTTTGACTACAGCTGATGGTTAAAATCCAATGCTTGGCGCGTGACTCGGGGGAAAAAAAAGTCTACCCTGGAAGATTTTGTCCAAAATGTAATTCAGTAATCATTTTGATGCCCTTAGGCTTCTGAGTCCTTTCAACAATCATGTTCAACTTAAGCATTTCTTTGATTCGCCAAAAAAGTTTGAAGTCATGACAAATAACATAGCTATCTAAATACTTCAATGTTTTCAACTTCAGCTTTTAGGACACAGAGAGTAACCATAATATGATATTTCAAGCTCCATGCCCATACCACCCATCATAGACAGGCCTAAATTGATGTCACGCTTCAACCATTGAACAATTGTAACATTATATTGATATTACTATATGGTCATAAATAATGGAGGTTCAAAACCAGATAGATGTTGAGACTCAAGAATAACTTCATATTGTCACATCCCCTTGGTGTTAGAGTTGGGCTTGATTTCTCACATGCACAATGTTGGTCATTGCAAGAAATCAAAACACTACATGAATGTTGGTCCACTGGCACTTCATTCCAACAAGCAAGCATAAGCTCATAAGCAACTAACCTAAGGAACAAAAAAAGAAGAAAGAAGAAAATGAAAGCAACAAAAGATAAAATAACATACACTATCGGAGATTAAATAAATAATGGTGTAGAATATATCAATGCAACTTGTATAATTGATTCTGAAACTATTTACTTAGCGAAATTTCTATTTAACTCCTTGAAAAATTTAGAAAATTCCAAGGCTTTAAATGTCAGAATTCTTTGCTTGGAAGTGCTTATCTCTCTTATTACTCTGAAACCTAAAAGTGAAACTATTAGGGGAAAAATATTGATTTTTGGTAGCAACAATTTTGTGGAGGAAGTCGATCAGCGTAGGTTACTGATCTGATACCTGAATCAAAAATAAATAGCACTTATAGTGATAAATAACAAAATAAGGTTTCCAGTAGAAGCCATCTTAGTCCAAGAAAACAAATAGTAGACAACATACCCGCATCATATTCGAAGTATCCCGAGGTCTCAACATTGAGTTCCCTTGACCAGAACCAACTCCAGAGTGCATATTAACAGGGCTTGGCATCATCGCCACACTGGAAGAAAGCATACTCCCAGAGTTCACCATTGATGGAGGAGCAATTCCTTGAAACCCAGGCCTTGCCATAGGCATGCTTCTATTCATCCCACACATTATGCCCACACCATTCCCACCAGGCAACATGCGAACACCATGATCAGTCCCTGGAGGAACCCCAGAAACGGACAGGCCAGACTGCTGAATATTTCTACCAGATAACATCTGATTATATTGCTGCATTCTCTGCTGTTCATCAATAGATAAAGATGAAGATCTAGGTACTCCATATCTACCATCCCTAAGACAAGTAAAGTACCACAACAAAATCAGAATCTGATACTGTGGTTGATGACCATTAGCTACAAGTTGTTTTGGGAAGTAGGTTAAAAGCTAACTTTCTGGCTTTTTTTGACTTCTTTTGAAAAAAAGTGTAAAAAAGTAAAGAAGTGATGTGACCCAAAAGAGGTTACAAGCCAAAAAGCTGGCTTTTAACCTCTTCCCAAAAGAGGCCAAAATATCATATTACCTAACAGATGGGTTTAGCGAACCAGATGGAGATGAAAAGTTATTGCCAAGAACCATGTTGGTAGATCCTTGCAATGAAGAATTTGCACTAGAAGCAGGAAGGGCAGATGCAACATTGCCATGATTTGATACTGCTAAACCACCCAAGGGAAGAACGTCGGGGTTTAATGCAGTTGAATCACAGAGATGAAGAGGCCTTCATTGCAAATTTGAAAAAGAAAAAAACAGAAGTAGTTACTATTACAATTTCCTGAGCAACAAAAACATTAGATGCAACAGAAAAAAAAAAAAAAGAAAAAAAAAAGAACTCCCTATGACAATGAATGTGGCGGTTACTACACAAAACAGAAAACATATTGCACAAAAGCACCAAAACTTACGTGAGTGGAGGCCCTCCATTCAGGTTACTTGGGCAAGCTTGGGAAATAGCAATTGTATGAGAATTATGTGACTGGATTGGTTTTGGATCCTGGTTATGATTCTTCAGAAAATGAAAAACAAAAATATAGAATCACATTCACAAATGAATTCAAAACCTGAAAAGTAAGATGCACCAAGATGGAGAGCTTAATAGGCAGTTTTTAGACTTAATATATCAGTTCCACCCTCTATGACATTTAACACTTCTAATTTATATCACTGCTGCTTTTTCCAACTGTTGCATTTTTTTCCACCCATGCCTCCTAAAAATTCTCCATAATAAAAATCTCAAAACTATAGTGGTTTCACAAAAGGTGAAAAATGGGAATAAAGTTGGGGTTTAGTATGACTAATAAAAAAAATTGGACTCATGCAATGCATCTGTATGCAAGACACAGATATCAGGGTTTAGAGTTTCAACAATTCACATTCTAATCATCAATTTACGTTCTCATTTTAAATTTAGGCATGTATATGAAAAAAAATGCCAAAGATACAATGTACTATCAAGCTGTTCACACATACAAAAATAAAAATGTTGAAAGAGAGTAAAACACAGCATTGAAGAAAGTAAAATGAAAAATGCAGTAGGCACCAGTTTGAGGTGATAGAAATCAATTAATTGAAGGATAAAAACAAAAGGCTACAGAGGTGGTTTTAATTTAAGCAACTGAAATCCAAAATTGTAATTGGATCTTCATATATATATATATATATTAGAAAACTCTTAAAACACAGATGTACCTGTGTCCTACGGTAATGCTGCTTTTGTGAAATCATAATGATTTTCTCAAAATGAGATTTGATCATATCTTCTTCCATTGGCCCCTGCAAACGTTGAAACAATTGTCTGGCACTGCCCTGTATGACATAAGCACCAACCAATGAAGCATTAAAATAAACTCAATGGTGGCAAGGACATATCTAGCCAACAAGCGAAGATAAGTGATGTCCAGTTTGACTTGACAGAAAGGAAGAGGAAAAATTATTATCAAGGAAAAAAAATAAAGAATACTGCCTTAGGAATGCCAGGTAAGGTTGACGGATAAGCTTGAGAAGACCCTGAATCTTCGGCACTATCAGCTCCGTCACCTACAGTCCCATCCATTAAAATTTTATGGCGTTCCTTGCATTCTTTGGGCTTACGGAATATACACTGCACATTTTGAAGATGATAATAAGCTAATCAAATTTAATACAATGCAAAAATAAAAATATGTATAATACACACAAATGCATGTGCAGAGATATATGAAATAAATAAAGAAAACAAAACTGCTAATAATTATTAAAAAAAATACCAAGGCTTAAAGCTGGTTGAGAAATCCCCCCAAAAGGCACGATAAATGACAGAACGAAATTCATTATATATTTACCTTGAATTGCAAAGTACTGTTAATAGCATCACTTACAACCTCCCAATTTGGACCCATATCATGTACAAGGACAACAAGGGCCTAAAATGTAAAAGCAAATAAAGTTTCAGGCACACAATCATATCACTAGAGAGAAGGAAAAATTAAGAATTCAAAAGTGAAAAAATCTATTGACCTGATCCTCAAATAGCGACCATGGAGATCCTGACCCTGGCTGTCCAGAAGGCATCTGCAAACAAAGATAAAATGCTCAAAATTCACAGGTATATATATATATACTCAAATGGTGCTAAAGCAGGAGGAATAGGAAGAATATAAAAGCATATAGTTAAATCTCCACAGAGTACCTTTAAAGATTTGGCTTTCCTTCCCCGATCCCGGCCACCAAGGATTTTAATGAGCTTATTAGGGTTGGACATATTACTCATCTGGGAAGCCACCGGAGAAGGAATTGACCCAGTCATTGGAGTAAGATTGTCAAAAGAATTATCTCGTGATTGCCTCATCATCTTCGGCTTCTTCATAATGTGTTGACCAAATAAACCTTCAGATAAGACCAAAAAAAAAAAAACAAGGAATATGAAAGGTTCAGCGCATCTGTCAAATTAACCACTATACTTAGATGAGATGGAAAAAGAACTTTACCACTGCTTCCATGAGATTCAAGTTGATGACTGTCCAATCTCTTTTTTGAATAATCCCTCTGCATTTCAAAACGACACGTGAGGAAATTGATGACAAGTCTAGGGAATACTACTAGAAGATACACCCCTTTGCTGGGCTAATTGAATGAATGAATATAGAAGAAAACATTGATCAATCGCAAAATTTTATAACATGAATGAATATAGATAAGTAACATATAATTCTACGGGATTATTATTAGCATAGTGTTCAGTTGAGTCATCTAGAAGAAAGCAAAGATATAGGTTTTCTAAATGTTCCCATCAAAACAACTATATTAATTCCATTTGTGATGAAACTTAAATAATATAAAAATAAAAACAAAAACAAACAGACAAATGTTAAGTTTCCATAGATTCCTTGAGATCACTCTAAGAAGCAAAAACACTTCTACAGAGGAAGCGTGTCCTGTTGAACACCCGTGTCCAACACAACACTCTTTGGACTCTTCTAAAAGCGTGTCCGACACTTCTTCAACATGTCTTGAATCTTGATTAAAAAATAAAATTCATAACATTGGACACTTTAGCGACACTTCAACGACACTTATTGATGACTTCTAATAATATTTGGCATTTTTTTGACTGACACGACACTCTTTGGACATTTCTAAAAGCGTATCCTGCATTTTTTTAAAATCAACGTGTTGGTGTGTCAGTGTTAGTGTCAATGTCGTGTCCATGTCATGTCGCATGTCCATGTCTATTCTACTTAGAGATCACTAGAACACGTTAAGGAACATTCATATACACCAAATTACATTGCAACTCCTAGAATTACCAACTTTGGCACATATAGAGACTCATTACTTAAAAAATCCAAAATGAATGACCTAGATATTTTTTTTTGGCATCCCTCCCCCCTCCCCTACCCCCCAAAATATACATATATATATTACTATAATCTTAATTATCCCTACATATTGGTCGATAATGGTTAATTCATTCATTTTAGGCAGCTAGTGTATTAATTGATTTAGTTGTCCCTTGCTCAGATAGCACACACATCAAGTGTCAACAGCAATTTCATGCAGAACCTATGGACTACAAATCTAATCACGTCACACATTATTTTGAGACACATTGTTCCCACTTAGCAGGAGTTGTATAAAAAACATGGTTAAAATGCTGACTATGAATATTTCACGGCATATTTTTTAAGCAGTGGTTGCTCTCATAGCTATTGATATACAATGAATGTTAAGTTAGTTTCTTAATAGCTATAAGCAAAACATTGTTGCCTAATCTACTGCAGCAGCCAAATACCAGGTAACAGTGCATGAAGAGTGAAACCTACAGACTCGAGTCATTCCTATCAGAATCTGGAATTACAAGTCCAACAAATATGTATCATGATTTAAGTGATGCTACATTTTCTCACACCCCATTCAGCAAAATTGCAGAGACTACAGAGGTAGATTTCATATTATCAGGAAGGATTTGTCATTTGTATTTCATATCTCATCGCTACATACACTACAATTCTACTTGAGGGAAACATCTAAAAGGATTCTTATAACCTTCATCCTTTATAATACTAGAGTGGTGATTTATTTATTTATTTATTTTTGTGTGTGTGTGTGTGTGTGTGTGTGTGATCAGCAATACTAGAGTGGTGTTTCTTCTGCTAATTCACTGACAATTCAACAGTAAAATATAATGCTAGAGTTGGAAGAGCATCCTTTAATACATTTTATCCTTCATCTCTTTTCAATTGTTTCTAAGGCATAACCATAGAATTATTTCTTCTTTTTCAACTAACTTAATCAAAACAACTGTGTTTCTTGCTCTGCAAATCAAGCGTAAGTTGCCAAACTGCTATATAGGGTTTCAAAATTCTCCTACTCAATAAAAATTGTGAAAAAAATCACAATAATATTATGCAATGCATGCTGATGATCAATTAAACAGTAATATTTTTTTTTTTTTGGTTGATAAATATCAAGTAAACGGGAAATTACACCAAATATAGCTGTTCATTTATTTTTTCACTCCCAAACAAGTTCCAAAGAAAGCAGCCAAAACCAGCGAGCAAAGCATACTATTGACATTCAAAGGACTGTTACCCAAAAATATTCTAATTCACCTTTCAATGAAATGAAGGTTTATTTGGTTCTAGGGTCAAACAAACGATAAGCAGCTACTTTTTAAAATTTTTGCTTTCCTCACTGCTGAATTTTTTTAGCTCAGAAGGTCTGACTGGTATCTTGAATGTTGGAAGTACTGCATGCATCATACAAGCTACTAAGTTTCATAAAGAAAACGAACATTACCTGTTCAGTTTGAAAATTGTTATCAAGCTGCCATCTCTGCTCATATGTGGAACCCTGCAACCAATAGAGAACTCATACATTAATAAGAGTGAAACAAAATGAAGAGAAAAGTCAAGACTAAAAGAAATGTTTAAGGATAATGAAGCCCTAATATATATTGGAAAACATAGGACATTGTATACCAGATGCTTTGGCTTCTTTTTCTTTTTAGGTTTTGATACTTCTGTGGAGTCAAATGGTAATTGCTTTTCGAAGTCACCCATTGACTCAATTTCCAAACCATTTGGGATCTGGGATCCACCACGCAAAGTACTCTGGTCATCCTGAAAAGAATTGGTATCACCGCTGGAAGCCCCTGTCCTGTTAGGACCATAAACACCCCCAGAAGTGGCAGCACTGAAAGGACTTAAAATCCTCTGCCTTGAAGCAGTCCGTATACGTTTTGTTGGAATCATACCAACATTAAGATTGTTGGCAGGCCGTTTTCCCATTAACACAGATTGCTGGGTCCCAACTTTGTTTTCCACGCATGGCATGAATGGCAAATCAGTTCCCAGATCATATGATCTAGCAGTGTGAGAATTGGTTGAGTTTTTCCTGTTCTTCTGGGAAAATTTGGATGGCTTGCTACCTTCAAAGGCACCAGGAAAATAGTAGGTCCTTGTTTCTCTTTCATCCTCTTCATATGCATTATCTTCAGATCCAATGTCCAAAATTTAGAACTAGAATTATTAGCTATATAAGATTAATCAATAAGCAAAGCAGGAAGTTATCTTAGATGTCTCAGCAATACCTGCTGCAGCATCATACATAGAAGTCTCTACTTCCTCTTGGATGCTACTGCCAGTTTTCTAAGGGAAACAAGAGGGAGGAGAAAAGATTAAAATCAGCAAGATAAAGCAACCGGGAGAGAAAAATAATAATTTAAAATTTGTGGGGAAAAAAAAAAAAAAAAACCAGCAACAAAATAGTTTTTGCTCATTACTATGTAGTTCCAAAAAAAAAAAAAAAAACAGGCTACATGAAGAATGACATACATGTCTTGTTCCAATGATAATTTTTTTTCACAAAAATAGACTAGGTAAAAGAGAACCGACAGTCACATCACCCATAATGAAGGAAGAATAACATCCAGTTATTGTTTCGTGTGCTTATACTCATATGATGAATTGAAATTTTAAGTAATACCACATAATTTCACAAACTTTCCCAACATAGCTCATTTTAGTACCATTTTGCAATCTAAGTTGCTAGTACACTCCATAAGCTTCACTCATCCTACTTACCAATTCAATAATAGAATGAGGAAGTTCTTGTGCTCTAATGAAACAATTTTTCTAATGCCAACACTGATAAATAATATTGACAATTCTACTCATTTCATAACCACTATAATGAGGTTCCGAAAAACTCCTTCCAAAAGAATTCCCCCAAAAAGCTACTAGGCAATCACAGCTATTATGATTGAGTTCCAACCACCAAAGCCCACTAACAATGTCAAAAATAATAATTTAATTCTTATGGTTCCTATTGAATAAAAGCATGATCAAGAGTTATTATTTAATACAGGAGCAAGTTTTACGCTCCAAATGTCTTCAAATGAAAATGCTAATAACTGACCAATGGGTGGTCGTTAGCCTTGATATGTGTAAAATGTGTATAGAAATGTCTGATAAGTGTATAGAAAAATGTAAAAGTGTTTCAAAGTATGTGGAAATTGTATTGGGATTTTACCTATTTTGGAATTATCTCCACCCTAATTAAATTTGGACAAGCTTTTTCCTATATGTTGTTGCCCAATTGTCTTCTAGTTGTGTTGTAGAAGAGTAATGCTATACAAACTAACAAATCTTAGAAACTTTTCTTCCTGATGTGGCACTTATCACATTACTAAAGTGGGTCCTGTTTCAAATTCCAAAGTGCCTTTATTGCATGACACATCAGTTAGGCCTCGTTTGGGAATTGGCCTTTTTAGTGGCTTTTTGCTTTTTGATGAGGTGCAAAAACGTAAAAATTTTTGGGAATGACTTTCTTAGTTGTATTGAAAACCATAAACTACTGAGATGCTTGACAAATATGAGATAAAAAAAAAATAGCTTTTGGATTTTTAGCATTCTTAGGCCTCGTTTGGAAACAAACTATTTTAGTAATTTTTTGACTTTTTAGCTAAAATATGAGATAAAAAAAAAATAGCTTTTGGATTTTTAGCATTCTTAGGCCTCGTTTGGAAACAAACTATTTTAGTAATTTTTTGACTTTTTAGCTAAAATATGAGATAAAAAAAAATAGTATGTTTGGAATGACTTTTTGATTTTTTACGGAAAGATGTACAAAAAGTAAAGAGAAAAGGGAATCTTTGATTTTTTGGTATAGCTTATAGGCTTTTTGGTTTTTTTTAGTAACTTGTTGGCTTTTAAACTAAAACAAGCACTTGCCAAACGAGGCCTTAGTGGCTGTTTGTCTTTTTTGGTTATATTTTTTAACTTTTTTTTTTTGGTTTTTGGTTTTTCCTTGGTAAGAAAAGTTCGTAAGATTTGTTAGTTTCTATGGCATTTTCTTTTGCAAAAATATGTAGCTGATTTTTATGTCCATTCTCCCTTGCTATGTGGTCTCTGGAATATAGTATCCTCCATTTCAAACTCCAAACTAGAGCAGAACTATGCTAAAGTAGTACACCACTTAAGATCCACCCAAAAAAGCGACAAACTCCATAAGAATATTTGGTGGGGGCCATTAATATCATGGAAAACCTCTAACCACCTTCCAAACAAGTTAGTCCAATTGCACCTCAAGCTAAGTACTTATCACGCCTTCTTCAGATGCTCATGAGCTTATCAAACCAAGTTCAATCCATCTAAAAACAATATAGCTCAGAGAAGGGGAATCGGCGCAGATCATCTATCTCAGATATGATCTCAGACAAACTTGTAAGCAAACCAGCTTGAGCTCAAGTAGCGTGGTCATCTGACAGCCCTACTAGTGAAGATATCTCCTGTAATTTCTTCCTTCCCAAACAGCTCCCTCAATCTCATTTCCAATTATCACGCTTACAAAATTTATCAAAATGACAATAGAGGTGAGCGCTTTTGGAGAAAAGTATTTTTTTGACAAATACTATTCACAAAAGGCAACAGAGGGGGGCAACCTTTGTGCATAGGCTATAAACAAGACAAACATATATCCCATTACCAAACGTAAGCTCATCTATATAATCAATAATGGCAAATGATGATTAACAAAACTTTCCCCAAAGCCAAAAATAATAAGTATGCATCAAAGTTGATTTTAATCTACGTATTGGCAGTATGATTGTTAGAATCACACGATTCACAATTCAATTCATACAATTTGATACAAGTTACAGAAAATCGTGCTGTTGAATCGGAAATTGAGTGAATCGTATGATTCAATTTACAATTCCCTGTGGTTCAGTTTTATTTCTAGTTTTTCTTACATAATGCATGAAATAACGTCGTTTTTGCCAAACAATGAAGATATATAGAAGAGATTAATTAGTTACATTGATATACGTGGTTTTATAAGTATATACATATATACAATTTAGTCACATTGATAATTTAGTTTAGTTTCAACATTGTATGTATTTTTATGTATATACATATAAAAATATATAGAATTATATATTTTATTAAACAAAATGAATCTTACGACTTACAATTCACGATTCACTATTCACTATTTTTGCAAAACAAGTCACAATTTGATTCGCGATTTGACAACAATGATTGCTAGTACAAAATCCTCAAACATCCACTAGTTCCACTCCATTCAAATGCACCAAATCACACATAGAAAATAGCAAGTTCCATAACTCTCAGAAGGTGATCCACGAAATTCCTCTACTCTTCAAAGCATGAGACACTAATTTGGTAAAATCTTACCCCTACTACCCAAACTATCAATAGCAAGGATAGAATCCAAGGATTTTGTCTAAATAAAATAAGCCACCTTTAGATGACCTCTTACGAAATGCATAAGAGATGTGGGGAACTAAATTCAGTTATGAGAATCCCATCATTGACAAATGATTAAATCTTTGTCAAAAAATCGTGTTGCTATGTCACACATCAAAGGTTTTCATGCAAATTCAAACATTCAAACATAATATTCTGGTAGAGAATTTAATAAAAAAAAAGTTTGATAAAATGAAGTTACAATAATTCAGAAACCATAATGTCAACACTACCTTGAATGAGAGGTAGAATTTTCTAGATTAATAAATTTCTTATTCAAATTTCTTTGCAACTCAGAATAGGAAGCACATGGATAAAGTAAAACAAAAAGGCAATGGCCCATTGTTATTAGATCCCATAATGAGCAATATGTTTACCTCAACTTGTGCCAAATGAGATTCAATTGATTTTTTGTATGCTTCCATTGAACCAAGGGGCAATGTGTAAAAGAGGTTTTCCTGCAAGGATGCAAGGACCAAAAATTCAATGTCCAAATTCATAAATAAATAATAAAAAAAGGGCCACTTACCAATCAGTCCTATTAACTAGACTTATTTACCTACATGTTCTAACTGATAAATTTATCACTATAAATTTATTCATAAAAACGAGACTGATAAATTTATCACTTGATAAATTTATCAATAGGACTTAATAGATAATAAGTCCCAAAAGTAGGACCTATTGGTAATTTACCCAAGAAAAAATCAATAAAATTGTTCCAAAAAAAAAAAGGAAAAGACAACAAAAACAATGAGGTAACAAAATTATTTTCATGTTATCATCAAATACAGACATCCAAAAACAGTTGAGAGAGAGAGAGAGAGAGAGGTTGCACAAATCAAAATTGTCAAATTAACAAAATACACAAGTATGAAGTGGCGGACCATACTTCTTTTACGTGATTGTCCTGAGACATTTCTAGAATACCAAAATCAGATATCCTGTCAGGCGTTGCTGGTGCTTCTGCCAGGCCAACTGGAACAAAGGAGGTATTATACTTCAGAAATCTCACTGCATATCCCTCAACAGCATGTGAAAATTCTCTTCCAGGACATTCTAGCTCTAGCTCTTTGCTTATCTCCTGGTCACAACCACCATATGCAGTATATTGAGTATGAAAAAACTCAGAAATTTAAAACAAACAGACAGATCTAAGGCAAGGACAATTAAACAAATAGCCCTGAAAAATTGATGAATTAGCCACAAAATGAGCACTTTCACCAGAACACATCTACTCAAGTCGCATGAACAGACAAATTAAGTTTAGAACAAAAGCTCCAAGTATATGACCATTCAAAAGGCGTGCCTACCGTGAATCATAGATTAACCTTGTGCTTGTATTGACAAAAGCTCACTCATATGATAATGCAAAAGATATGCCTACTATGAGTCAGATAACCTTGTGCTCTTATTGACAAGAGCTCCCTCATATGACCATTCAAAAGATACAGGACAATAAGTAAACTCAAAACATCCATTATGTGTCTTTTTGATATACTTAGCTAGAAGACATAAGGACATTACCTAGTTATGGTCACCATTTCAGCAAGCAATGTCCCCTAGATACTAGAACGCAAGAGATTTTAGAATATTATAATCCACCCTGTCCCAAATATTAGTGTTCACTTTCTATTTTTGGTTGTCCTAAAATGAATGTCCAAGTCAAACCAATGTTCTTTTAGTTTGCTGTAATACGTCTTACAACAAAGCAATCATTATTTCTCAACATTGTCCAGGTTAATTTTGGAAGAGGTGCCAAAAACAAGGTAAAGTGAATTGAATTTATTGTTGTTTTCTTAAACTTTGTTCTTTTTCAAACTTGTGTATTGGTGTTGCTTAGAGAATAGTGTTATGCATGACCCTAGTTGTTAGAATCTTATTATCCACTATTCAATTCATACAATTCGATACAAGTTTCAAGCAAAATGATTTGGTTCGTACAGTTGAATCTTAAATTGAGTGAATCTTATGATTCAATTGTGATTCACTACAACTCATTACAATTCACTATGTTTCATGCGATTCAGTCCTACTTGCGTAAGGCATGAAATGGAGTTGTTTTTGCATAACAAAAAAGTGATCAACTAATTATATTGACATATTTATATAGCCTTATGTGTATATACATATATACAATTTAGTTATATTGATATTTATTTTATTTTAAACACTGTATATTTTATATGTATATACATATATAAATTATATTATGCTAAATAAAGTGAATCTTACAATTTAATATTCGCGATGAGATTCAGATTTTGACAACAATGTGCATGAGTAACACACTATGTGCCAATACCTTGCAAATACTTCATCAAACTTCCCTTGATCTACTGTAAGGTGGGCTCACTAATATTAATGGAAGCTCAATGAAGGCTAAATTCAAAGAAGTGATGATATTTAGACATTGGTATGATTTCAAAGAGAAATTAATAGGAATCTTACATAATTATGTTTCTAGTATTATTAGTCTTATTTTATGATTAATTTTATGTTTTCTAGAATTTTAAGGTAGGGATATTTTAGTAATTTTCACATTTGCTGACATGGCTAATAGGGGTCGTCTATGGGTTGTCTTGTGATTCAAGTTTTTATTTATGTTTCCTATTTGGTCTTAAATTAATTTTGAAAGTCTATTTTTAGTAGTTTTCTTTTTTGAATTTAGCCTTCATTGAGGTTCTTATACTCTGCATCAAACATTCATACCATGAATGATCAAATTAAAACACACACACACACATAGTCATGCTTGTGCAACGTTCTATTATCCCAATATTAGTGACTAAAACTTTTAAGCACTAGCCTCCTTGTGCATTCATGCCAAAGATCAAGCATAATACCCAATCTAACCCCTCCCAAACTGATACAATCCAAAAGAATAGCACAAAAAAAGAAAAAAGAAAAAAAAATGAAAGTGAAAGAAGTGGCAATATTTGCAAAATTGCATTGGTTTCAAGCTACTAGTGCTATTAGAATCTTATTTTAAGGATCTTTTATAATTTCTTTTAGAGGTTCTAGGTCAGGGGTATTTTGGTATTTTACAGATTTTCTTGTGGGTCAAGTTATTTAATTGGTTTTATTTATGTTTATTAATTGGTCTTAAATTGGTTTTGAAAGTCAATTTTAGTAGTTTCGTATCTTAAAATTAAAATCCAATTCAGTAAAGTCAGTCTCTAAATTCTATATAAAAGTCATGCAATGCTTATAATTTAATAGAGTTGATATTGTTTAAAATTTTCAAAGCTTTTAAGCCTCTTTTGAATTTGTGTGGTGTAACCCAAACCTTATGTATGATGCCTAAGGGATTCTATATGTAATGCCTAAGGGATTCAAGGTGTGATGTCTAGACTTTTTCTTGCATCACAAAAACCATTAATGCACGTTGTTTGGTTTTTTAGTCTCCTTGTGGAATCTTCATAAGATTTAGTAAAGAAGGAATCAGAAGCTTTTTGTGCAATGAGTATAGGAAAATGAGGCCTATATTAATGTATTATGCAGAATTTACAACAGTGTTACTGTTTTAAGCAGTTCCAGAGACATCTCTCAATATTATTGTACCAAATGTTGAGTGTGTCAAAAGAAGCCTGCATGTCATCATAAATTGAGTCTATCAAACGAAGAGAGTATAGGGTAAAAATTGTTCATGTATAAAGCAACTTAGAATGAAAATAGTTTCATCTGTATATCCATCTTTTTGTAGGATTTCCAATCAAGCAACTTAGGATGAAAATAGATTCATCTATATATCCATCTTGTTGTAGGATATTTTTATCTTCTACAATATTTTCTTTCCAACATTTTCATCAAACAAGGATACATTTTGTATGATAGACATGGCTCACAAAAAATCAAGCCAGAAATCAAAGACAACTTAGACAATGACGAGGTCCTTATTGCTGTAAACTCAATTGCGAATTATTAAGGGTTAAAGGAAAAGAAAACATTGCACCACTTCCACCATCTAAAAACAGAATGGTATAAAAGCAGTCTAAGATATAAAAGAATGAGCAACACCATTATCCTGATATTAAATCAATCAAGCAGGAGGGGGGGGGGTCGGGGGGTTAAAAAAAAAGAGAATTAAACAACCATCACATATAGATTTTTTAATCATGTTCTCAGCAACCCATTCCCATGAACCCTCCATGATCAAGCTACATCATACTTCCAGGTGTTAAGAAGATACAACAGAATAACTACTATTTAGAAATACCTCTGCCGAATGCCAGAACTCCATGACAGCTTTTGCTAAGGTGTGGGCCACTTTTTTTTGCTTCCAACGTAAGTTTTGTTCTTCAAATCTTAACCGGGATGTAGAAGCAATTCGATGGCATACTTGAGCAGCAGCAGTAATCTTCCACAGACGCTCCTATTAGAAGAGGAATTGTTGTAAATTAGAAAGGCAGGTAAAGCTGGAAATAGATATTTAAGAAGTACGGACAATTCTAAGAAGGGGACACATCCATGTCATGTCTGCATTGGACACGGACACCCGTTGGACACTTCCCGACACATGTCTGACACTCGTCAATATGTGTCCTATTTTTTAAAAAGTTTTTTAGATCCAGACACTCTTCGAACACTCGTGTCCATTGCTTAAACAAACATGTCCACCGATTAGACAAATATTAAACTAATTATAAGTTTGAACAACTTAGGACACAATAATAAAAGAAAAAATGAAGTAAATTTATAAAACAAGTATTATATTACATTATTTTTATTATCTTTGAATGAAATATATTAAATATATAAAATTATATATTTCGTGTGTCCCCCACATGCCGTGTCCGACATTTTTTGAAAATTGGCGTGTCGGCATGTCCGTGTCGTGTCGCGTGGCGTGTCCGTGCTTCTTAGAATAGTTTATCAAAACAAATAGATACTTGCAATTAATATGGCTGGATAAATATGCAATTAATGTACTAGACATAATTAGTACTAGAAAAGACATCCTACAAAACGACAGAAAAATGAAAACAAAATTGGGATTTATTGAAGAAAATCAAACCTGAGCAAAATCATTCGCAAGCCATGCCATTTCTTCAAGGACAAAGTCCCAATGAGATTTCCAACGATTTTCCAGGGGCATGGTACCAACAGATAACTCAGCAATCCTTTTACGCTTTGCCTGTTTACTACATTATGTCAGGCATTGGCGCCTAATGACGATGGTAATCATGTGGTTCCTTCAACTAAACAAATAAAAATCATAAAACACACACAGAAAAAATAATAATAACCTCAATAATCCGAGCCTCTTCTAAAATAGAATCTTCATGTGCCTTGTTTGCCAATTTTGAGTGGATTTCCGAACAAGGTTGTTGCTCAGGAGCAACATTGGAACCCTTAACAGACAATGTAGTCTCCGAAAGGCCAAGAATAGATGGATCCGTAGAACCCCGAACTCTACCAAAAGCATTTTCCTTCTGGTGATCAGAATTATTATGAATGGAAGAATCCGTAGAACTCTGAAGTCTACCGGTGCAATCACTTTCCTTTGGAGGATTTGAATTATCAGTCATTGAGTTTACAGGTATTTTTTTTGTCTCTAAAGCAGTATTGCCATCCAGTTCCATTACCTCAGCACTAGAGGGGAATTTCACAATATTTTGCAAGCCAAACCCACTTCCGTGTAATTCTTCCTTGGATTTGAGAGTAGAACCATTGCCTTGGGGGCTTTGATGAATGGAATTGTGCTCATCATTAATGAAAGGATAATTGTCACCAGCTTTCTTCTCATTCTTTTCTGTTAACATTTCATGACCTTCCATATTTGGTGTCCCTTCAAACACTAAGGCTTGTTCCTTAACATTCCCATTGGAATCAACGTTTCTTAAATTATTGCATGGCTCTTTATCATTATTTCCATCTATGCTAAGGCTGGTTTTGGTGCATGAGGATTCCAAATCTAAAACCTTTGTGCTGAATGCGGCACTGCTATTTTGAACTTCAATTGGTATGTTCTTTCTATCTCCCTTGGCACTGCTACACCCATTCAGTTGACCAGAGCTGGCTTGATTCTCCGCTTTCACTGTAGCTACACAAGAAGAAAATTCAAGACCAGCTGAAACTACCTGTTCCCTTCCACCAACAGATTCAGGCCCCCCAGAAGCCACAGCAGAAGTTTCCTGACCATCAACTTCTGAGTGTTGATTATGTTGGTTATCTTGCGAGCTTCTGGAAGTGTTAAAATCAGGCACACCAACTTTGGTGAGTCCAGTAGTTGATTCAACAGCCCGCACACCATCCAACTCCTTATCTAACCGACTATCAGAAGGCAATGCCCTAGAAGCCATACCACCATTTGGACTTATAAGCTTTGAATTACAATTCAAAGAAACACTCGGATCCTTCTGGTTGTTTGTATCAAGCACCAACCCTTTTCCATCTTTTCGACCATGGCGTGAAGGCAAAGAAGAGGCATGACCACTTCGAGATGGAACTATATCGGTTGAACTTGATCGAGCACCATCACGATTTGGTCGTGACCTGTTTCTTCGCTTGTATGCTCGATTTTGTGGGAGGTCAAATGCAGCTGAGTCCCCTGATTCTTTAGCATTTTGACTCCCATCCAACTGGGAAGACCGTTCTGATGGAGCAATGTTACTCCTAGTAGGACATATAGAGTTTCTTTCACCTTCAAGAAATTCACTTTCAACGTCAAATAACAAGAGATTATCAGCACTATTGGGTTCACAAACAGTAGGAGCCCCCAGTCTACCGCTACTTTCAACAGAATCTCCACGTGGTGAAGCAGTCAATGCAAAACTACCTTTAGCTTCACTGTGGTAGCAAAACAAAACATTAGGCAGCCCATACAAAGAAAATAACAAAACTGGAAGGATCATTAACGACCGAAAAAAACAAAGAAACCTGGTTACAAACTGCTCAGAAGGTTGATCAGTCAGTGAAGTAGATTGGACACTAACAGAAGCTGCATTCCCAAATTTGAATTCCAAGGGATTGCCACCCTGTAGACACCAAGAATTTAATCACCTGAATAAGTTTAGAATGGTTGCCCCACATCCATACAAATACTTCAAAAGAAACAAGAGAATGGAACAAATTGCCATACTTTCTCCAGATATTCTAGTTCTCTTCTCCTTTCCTCACGCACATCATACTCCTGCCTGTTACCAACAACAACAATTTGTTTATTAACATTGACCACAAGAACCAAACAAATAATAATAATAATAATAATAACTACTACTACTACTACTACTAATCTTAATATGTAGTATCTGATAGCAGCCAGATAGTAAAGCAGACGGAGCTTGGAAGTATCACCTAAGTTCTGCTTGAGCCTTCTCAATTGCTGCTTGTCGCGGAGAGGATTTGGTATCAATTCCAACTCCGCCGTCAACAACTCCTCCCATGGAATCAACCTCAGCATTGACTAGAAGAGCAGATCCTAAGCTACATCCATGCATTCCTACCTTATTACCTACCAGTGTCCCCCTCTCATTGATTCATGACTTCTATCAAGTTCCTAGAAGCAAAATGATAGTAACAATATCAAAATGAGAACTAGAAAAGTATATTATCAATAAGATATTAATAGCTCAAACATAGATATATATTCCTCCATCATTAAATTGGGGGGGTAGAAAAGAAAAGAAAACAGCCATAAGGGTTGATGAATGAAATCTAAACAGTTTGTATTTATAACATCCAGAGAACACATCAGCTCCTTTACAATTGAAGTCTGCATACTTTCCTGTTAGATCTCATTAGCTTGAAAAATATGGGGACCGTTCTGGACTAAGATGAGTTCAATGAGAATCTACAATCGCTTTGCAGGTTTGTCATCTGAACATGACTTCCCTTGGTAATAATATTAGACTAGCATTGGTAAAGTAACATGCACATGCCAGGCCATCCCATCCCATCCCATCAGTCTTTTTCCAAACTCCACAGTGCAAATACAGAATTTTTTGTAGAAATTATTAATAAAGAGTAAACAACTTAAGAATGTAACTACTAATACTAAATTTTTTTTTTTTTAAGAACTTCAGCCTAACTAATTCCCTTACACATGCAATGCACCAACCAACATGTATCAGGCAGAAATAAATTACATGATAACAATCAATAAATTACCTACAGTTGACAAAGCCATCTATCCAAATATTAAGGCCTCCCGCAAGAGTTTGATAATCTTGTCATATCATTAGAATACAGAAGGCATATAAACTCCAAAATTGCCTATAGCCAATGTCGGGCTTTGATGCTCTTGTCATATAATTAGAATACTAATCAAATAAGCATCTAACTTAATTTGAGCATTCACAATCATTACATAGATAAGTATTCCAGCAAAACTATGGAATGAATAAAGGTTCTTGTATACAGAAGATGCAACAGTGTTATTGCAACATGCCAATGGTACATTAGTTTTATTGTAAAAATATGAAAATACAAACATAATCACTTAATTACTCTATACCAGCCTTCACAAAGCTTTCATAATAAAAAAGATTGATAAATCATTGCACTAGTATTGAACGCAACAATAACTTTCCTAGGAAAAACAAAGCACTAAGAGTGGAACATAGAAATATAAAACTACATTATGAGAAATCACTGAAGGGCTGACAAGCTGAGATGCATACACAACTCCATAAAGATACTATGTTGACATCAGAATCCAAAATTCAAGAACTTATTGACATAAGGCCAACAAATCCTAAAAGTGTTCACAATACAAAATATGTTTTTAAATATGACGCTATATTAAGAAAATCAACAATTGCCAAAAAAAAGATCGCAATAAGGATAATACAAAAAGATAATTTAGCAATCACTTACGTAAGCTAAATCAACCTCAATCAGTGAGAAGAAATTAGTGTCTAAAAACAATTTTAGTGAAAAAAGATATATCATTTATAGTAAATATTACAGGATAGCATCAGCTATTTTACTGATGTCAGAGCAGTCCATGTGGATGAGAATGTTCCAAGAAAATGAACAAATTAAAATGAAAAAAAAAAAATAAATAAATACTACGTCGGTAAAGTAACACATATCCTTGGATACACATTCAAATGTTTACTTACAGGTCTTGTGTAACTGTGGCATAGTGACCATTCAATCTACTAACCTTGAACACATTCTCAATGGACTGACCACATCCAAATCAAGTCAAAGGGCATCATATAACAAGTGTGCAGATTCCGTAAACCAATGCCGTCCAGCATAAAGACAATTATTACAAAAATAAAATTTCAAACTTCAGAACTACACCCTTGTGCTCTGTGTACTCCATAATACTTCAAAATTATGGCATGGGCAGCTTCAGTGGATCAACTAAAACCAAAAGAGTCTAAGCTTGCAGTTAAACACATCCCTACTTAATTCACCAGCAAGAAAGTTCCTACATTTGATCACGCGTTAATTGAACATAAACTCCATGCAATGACACGACTTAGCAATCAAAATGCACAACACAATCAAATTCCACATAATTTCGTATTCATTGCCTCACAAAGCAACCCTAAAAAGCAATTCGAACATTAATTGAAAAATCTAGGGTTTACAGGACAAGCACATTTAGTCCAAATTTATAGGGTTTGTATCACGAAAGATAAAAAAAAATACCTGAATTCCAAACAGCTCTTCGCGAATTCGCAGCTAGGGCTAACACTGGAACTTCCTCTATCTTCTAGGGTTTTGGTTTGATGGAACGAAACTCAATTAAGAGCACACGAATTAGCCCTAGAGAATGTCAGCCATAGAAGCATTGAGTCCCCTCTGAAACTCTCTCATGCTCTTCTACATATATATATATATGTACAGGTATATATAAAGATATAGATATAGTCTATATCTGTTTTCGTTTTCTGGTTCGTCTTTGTGCTTCTCCCCTAACTCTCTCTCTCTCTCTCCCGAAATTATTTTCTCTCTCTAAAATTGTAGTACTATGCGTCCTCTGCGACTAGTGGGCTGGACATGCAGACGAAGAAGAAGAGGCCTTTGCGAATTTGGTCCGTTTGGGCCTTTCTGCAATTTTATTTATGTACTAAAATATAACCTTTTCTTTTTGAAAAAAAAAAAAAACAATAATAGTAATAATAATAATAATTTGTAATCTAGGTTGAAGTAGATGTAGCAACAAACATTTAATTATAGGAAAATTAGTGAAACATTTTTCATCAACTTTGTGTAATACGAGAGGTTCAATATATTTTTTTTATTAGGTAAAGTCTCTCAATATTTTCATAGAGAAAATTTGATTTAGAGAAAATTTATCTGGCTTTGAGAAATTTTGGTAGCGTTTGGTAGAGTTTTCTAAATAAGATTTGATAATAGAATTGTATTTTGAATTTGTGAGTTTTGAAATTATGATTTGAGTGTGGAAAATTTGTTTGGTTATGAGTTTTGAATTGAGTTTTGGAAGGAGTTTTGAGTTTTTGAAATTAGAAAAGTTATTCGATTAAAAAACTTATAACTTACAACCAAACACACAACCCAAAATTCTATTCAAAACTCATATAAAAATTTTTAAAATTCCAAAAATGTTTTTTATTTACAATATAAAAATAACAAGTGCAAAAAAAATAAAAAATAAAAAACTGAACATTGTTCCGGTCAACGGACCGGATGTCTAGGGGGACGACCAGGTTAGCCAAAATTTCCCGCCTGGAAAAGAATTTTCAAAAGTAGGTATGGAATTATAATTTGAAAGCTCAAAACAAACACCACACTCAAATCAGTAGGTGGAAATGTGTTTGGAACACATAACCAAACACAGCCTTTAATTTTCACAGAGAAATTTTGAAATTTCTAAAATTTTTCTGTGAAATCAGAAAAATTTCTTTATGAAAAATTTCTCTGAGTTGGGGCCAAATTTTCCTGAGTCGAATAAAATTTCTCTTAGTCAAATTTTCTCTATGAAAATGTTGAGGGATCTTAACTACTATGAAAATATTATATATCCTTTATATTATAAAATCTTAATATCAGAGACCTTAAAAAAAGTTCCTCTAAAAAAAATCTCTCTTGAGAAAATGATTATTTGCATATTGGCTTTACAAAGATCTATAATGTAAGAGTGAATGAAATTATTTGCACAAATTCTTATTTTGCGAAAAAGAGAGCCAAGTTATTTGGTGGTTTTCAAAAATAGATTTTTTTGTGATTTGTCTAAAAAGAGAAAATATTTTAAAGATTCAAATTGTTTATCTTGGAAAAATTATGAATATTTATTTATTGCAATTCAAAATATATCCATAATGTGAGACATAAAGGAAAAATAAAAGAGAAATATTGGTGGCTCCTAATAAGTTAGAGGCTATTGGCTGTATAGATAGAAATGGTGATTCCTATGTGTAGTTCCTAATAGTAGACTATTGATCACTAAAATTTGGCATTCTTAACAATATGGCTATTGACTACTAAAAGAGGAAATTTTTGCCTCAGTTCGGAAAATATAAGGATCATATTTGCTTGATGGATCTATGTTGCCTTGATACAAAATTGGATATATTTGCATGATGAGTCCAATTTAAAATATTTACTTGATGAACCCTAAAAGGGAAAATTGGGGTGTGCAAATAAGAACGGCTTTATTATGAGATACTCCATGTGATACAAAAAATTATTAATCAGCTAATATGTAAAATTGAAACTTGATAAGCTCAAAATTATTATTAGTCAAATATTGAGGCAAATATTATTAATAAACTCGAGAAGTTATTGTGTCTGGACTAGCGAGGCTAGATCCATATTTATTTGTTAAGGGGGATGATCTAAGCCCTAAGGAAGTCACCTAAGGAAGTAACCCAATCTCTGTGAATGGCAACCCCAAGAAGGAGGTTCAATGGGTAGAAACAATCCTTAAAGCGTGACTTGATTTCAGTACTTTATATTTTAGAAGACACCATAAGAGTTGTTCTCCTACCCATCCCCTAAGACAACAGTGTTGATGAGTGACTGGTTAGGAAGGGTTTTACCCTGAATGAATCCAAGGTAGGCAATCTCCTGCAAGGTGCATTCCGTTACTGTACCTTTGGAGAATTCTACTAAGTAGGAACCGTTGTGAGGCCACGACCGTGGGACTTGGGCTAGTCTCTAAAATTTTCGTGAGAATCAAGATCATAGTGCATGGCCATTAAAAGCACTAACCTACGAGATATTGTCCAATACTAGTGCTGTGTATGTGACATGTTAACCTTTGGTCCAAAGAGTCTAGTTCAAGACTTAGTTCACTATGATTCTTCGGAGGGAAACTATTATCACTAAGTGAGGTTTAAGTCCAGAAAACACCTACACCTATTATGCAATATATGTTGCCCCTTATTATATATATATTTTTGTTTTTTATTATTTCGAATTGTAGTTTTGAAATGTGTGGGTGTGTTATAATTTTTTTTGAAAATATTAAAAATATATATAGTTTTTTAAAAAAGTAGGGTACTGTTGAGATATTTTAATAAAAATAATATTATGTTTATTTCGTTCATTATATTCAACATTATTACAAAATTAAAACTTATACTTATTGTGTTTAATTCTAAACCATTTTAATATTTATTAGTATTATTATTCATCATTGTGCTATTAAGTGGTTTGGCTAAAAAAGTCCTATATAACCCTATGGTTTTCTAAAAGTTATGTGACATGAGAAAGGTGATTGATAATGGGAAAAACTGAAATGCTTTAAGAGAGATATCTATATTTTTATATAATATTTATGTTTTAGGCACTTTTGGTTCGTGGTATAGTTCAAACCTCCTGGTGGTTATGAACACTAAATGAGGGACACTATGAGCAACATAGGCTTTATCTTAGAACTATTTCACTCCGATTGTACCTTCATGAGGGGAGAAAAATAGTTTTAGGACAGTGACAATGTTGACTCCCAAAGTCTTACAGCTATGTTTCTCTATTCTTGTTTTTATCTATATATATTATTTATTGTCAATATTATCATAATATCCATGCCTAAATATTTTGTTAATTATATTTCTAGACTAACATACCTCTCTTTCTTAATTTGTTAAAGGAAAAGAAAATATGGATTTAATTCTTGGAAATCAAAGATGCGTATTTGACAAAGCTGGTATTCGTTTTAATCCAAATAAGAAACAAAAATTTTATAATAATTTCTTTGTAAAATCATCATCATTTAACTAGTCTTTCAATACCTACTATTATTGTGGTAAAAAGGATCATCTATTGCATTATTATCCTATTCGTAAAAATATGTATGTTGCATCTAAAATGATATGGGTTCCTAAGTAATCAGTTATTTAATCGCCGTTAATATTGCTCAATTTGATTTATTATTCTGTTACAAGCTAACAATTTTTTCAAGACGATTTAGCCTCAGAGTGTGGAAATCAATTGTTAGGCTATTGTAATTGGCAATCCCGTTGGACAAAACTCCATTTAGTTATATTTTCATTCGCTTAAACGGTTGTCCTATACGTGTGCACCACCTTTAGTCACACCGTTCGAGCGGCCTTCTTGACTCTGTTTAGTATAAAGTACACCGTTTGCTCGTTTTAGGGTTTAACTCGTCTAGATTCTCAAATATAAGTAAAAACTAAAGTGTTCTATATTGGAGAATGTTTATGTATTGTTTTCTTTAATGATTTGAAGGTGATTGATTGATCAATGAGCTTCATATTGACTATCATCAAGGATTGTTTTGTTCTTTCATTCACAAAAGAGAGAGGTGTTCATCGGTCGATTCCGGGAAACTTGGGCCTGAAGCTTTGGTGGATTCTGGAGTGGCTCATTGTCGTGGATTTGACATCGGCATTATGGATTCAACATTGGGCAAAGCAATTCTAAGGTAAAAACGATGGTGGAAAAGGCACATCGGGTTCAGTTCAATTAGGGCGTGGATTCGCTAATCGAGAGTTCTCGTATGTAATTTATTTTTGTCTTCTTAGTAGATTTTTTGTGGCTTTGGCCTATAACGGTTCGGGTCGAGATCTGAGTTTTCTGTCAAAAATTGGACTTAGTCTAAAAATTTTCTAGGTGTAAAATTTGAAAATTTCAAAACTTGTAATTTTGAAAATAATATTTGGTGGTAATTGTTCCTTATATATTAAATGGTCTAATTTGATTTTATGGGATTTTTTTACGAGGTATTAATCACTTTACTTCAACGCCAAATTTAGAAATTTTAATCGAAAAATTATTTTTATACTAAAACTAGGGAAGTCAATTTTTTATTTAATTAGATTTTGATTTTTTTGTATTTTTCTTTGAATCCAAATGGGGGTGTTTCCTTATTTGTATTGTAAATTTAAGTAAATGAAATATAAATGTAAGAGGTTAAATAAAAGCATTTACTTAAATAGTTACATATGGAAATAAGGTTGATGTGCTGATAGTACCTTAGAAACTGAGCTATATGACTAGCTGTGTCTGGGGTGACCACTTGTATAACGCCCCAATTTTTATTACATGAATCCATTGCCAAATCCTTTATGCTATTATCCATTTAAATAATTTCATACACGTGCCACATAGTCAAATAAATAAAGAATGACATTCTCTATCACAATACTAATGACAAATCTTAAACAATGCCCTCGGGTTACATTGAATAATTGTAAATGAAAGCGATTTACCTTTATACAATACATGGCATTTCGACAACAAATAAAAGGCTCCGTGGCCAACAAATAAATAAAAGACCTTGAGTCCGAACAATCCCTTCAACCATGTACCTGAGAAGTTTGTCAACACGTGGGATGAGCACAAAGCTCAGTAGAGATCCTAACATGATTCTAAGCAATAACGACATATAGATAGCTATGATCATGAATGCCCCATGAAATACAGTACATGCAATGTAACGGTTTTATGTTCCAAAATATACTATACACATACATTTTCTTTCCAAAATCTCCATATTCTTTGACATCACAAAACATAACTCACTTAATTCCTTTCTAGTTTTCCAATTAATGCAAACTTTACCTCTCAACACTTCCTTATATCA